TAGCAATCATAGAGGCCACCCGTCCTACCAACAGGAATTCAGGATCAATACATTGAATACAAGAATCATACATTGATTTCTCTCTGGCTGCTACAAAGAATGCAAAAAGAAGCTGCTCAGATCTATGGAATGAAAGGTATGAACTGTCCTTTAATGAAATGCTTTCATATTTCTGCCCAGAATTTAGCTTCAATGAAATAAGACGTAATGATGTCATCGCATTAATTTGATAAAAAAGCAAAGCCTTTTATTAGATCAAGTCGATATTAGAAGGTTCCATCTTGCGCATGCATCTCCAAAATGAAAGAGTAACGATACAGCACAATCATGAAGGCCGTGGGCCGGCTATGGTGGCTGTACACTCTCTACCCTGAGCTATAAGGTCAATGGTTTGTAGAAGCCTGACTGTCATGCCCATTAACCTGGCTGGAGTTCCTTAAAGAGGAACTATGAGATGAGTGATTTCCACTCACCTCATAGTTCTAGCCGACCTGTGACAATGAGACTGTCACAGGTCGGCTCAGTAGATCGGGAGGTGAGCGAACACATATCGACGGGGGAGGGGGCGGGTACAGCTGGCTCTGCCTCTAGATAGGCAGAGCCAGCTGTCACTCACGCAGCTGGGCGGATCTCGACGTCGATGTCGGGATCCGCTTCAGCTGCGGCGTCTCAGTATACCGCGAGCTGTAGCTCCCTATATACTGAGCTTAGGGTGACGGGAGGACGCTAGTTTGTGTCCTCCCGTTACCCTAAGAAGAACTATGGGGAAAAGCCCTGACCCCATAGTTCTCCTTTAATACTTTCTTTTTAAACATTTTCATTGGTCAAGCTGCAAAATAAGTGTATTTTTTAATTTATTTTTTTATGTCTTTTTTTGCCTTAAATGTTAATTAAATATCAAAATGGCCCAAAAAAAGCTTTGTTTTTCACAAAAAAAACCATATATGTCTCACTTCTGTAGTATCAAAGTTTTTGCAAAAATAACTCCATAACTGAAATGTGAAAATAGCTGTGGAGTAGGCATGAACCCGACCCAAACCTGAGTTCCTCAAAACCCCAAAACCCGGAACTGACATGGGGCCACCCATCTAAATCAGCTGCGGCCCTAGGCATTCCTCACTTCCCAGCTGCATGTAAACAAAGGGCGGGATGCTTGTGCTTTCATTGTTGACCTTAAATGGCAACATGGCCATATTAGGTCAAAGCCACTGACCAAATATGGCCAGCTGTGGGCCAGGGCATTCATCACCCCTCAGTTGCATGTAAACAAGGGGATCGGATGCTGGTGATGCCATTAATGACCTTATATGTCCCCATGGCTATATTAGGTCAATGCCACTGACCAAATATAGCCAGCTTTGGGCCAGGGCATGCCTCACCCCTCAGCTGCATGTAAACAAAGGGGCGGGATGCTTGTTATGTCATTACTGACCTTAAATGGCCACATGGCTATATTAGGTCAATGCCACTGACCAAATATAGCCAGCTTTGGGCCAGGGCATGCCTCACCCCTCAGCTGCATGTAAACAAAGGGGCGGGATGCTTGTTATGTCATTACTGACCTTAAATGGCCACATGGCTATATTAGGTCAATGCCACTGACCAAATATAGCCAGCTTTGGGCCAGGGCATGCCTCACCCCTCAGCTGCATGTAAACAAAGGGGCGGGATGCTTGTTATGTCATTACTGACCTTAAATGGCCACATGGCTATATTAGGTCAATGCCACTGACCAAATATAGCCAGCTGAGGGTCTGGGCACTCTCCACCAATCATCGGCATGTACACAAAGGGTGGGATGCTTGTGATGTCATTAATGACCTTATATTGCCCCATGGCTATATTAAGTCAATGCCACTGACCAAATATAGCCAGCCGTGGGCCAAGGCGTTCCCCACCTCACAGCTGCATGCAAACAAAGGAGTGGAATGCTTGTGATGTCATTACTGACCTTAAATGACGCTATGGCCCTATTAGGTCAAAGTCACTGACCAAATATAGCCAGCTGTGAGCCAGGGTATTCCCCACCCCTCAGCTGCATGTAAACAAGGGGATTGGATGCTTGTGTTTTCATTACTGACCTTATATGGCCTCATGGCTATATTAGGTCAATGCCACTGACCAAATAAAGCCATGTAGCCATATAAGGTCAATGATGTCCCGGCAGCTGCAGGCGGGGAATTCCTCGGCCACAACTGATTGGGTGGCTTTCTTCCAGGCTTGGTCTGAACCTGAGCTTAACTGGTTAAAGACGCTTATCTCTAGAAGTTCATTGATGGCATTCCCGAGCTTTGTCTCATTGATTCATAAATATATTGCTAAAAGCGTATTTGGAGTCAAGGTAGGCGTTAAACATATACTCGGCTTCACATTGTGAATATATAGCAATGACATTGGGAAATACTATGAATGCAAACATTTGCTCGACCATGACACAAGACGTACTTTGGTAAACTGAGACAAAGGACATTCCTTTAAGTGAGTATGTGGCATATACGTGGGATATAAAACACAGATGTTGGAAATAAAACACGACTAGAGATATAGAAGGAACAGCGGGTCACATACGTTGACATTGTAAACATAAAATAGGAATAAAGACAACAACAGTAGATCTCATTAAACATCGATGAAGTGTCAGGGCCTATTCACTCTTCTGCACTTATAAACGCATGCGTCATGTGTTTTCCAAGGAAACCCGAAGACTAGTGACTTTGTTGATATGGATTCAGCTCCTTGTAATATCTATAGAGCAGCTCTCAGCTCGGGAGAGGGCAAGGCAGGGCTTTGGGGACGTAACAAGTGTCTTACATTCACATCAGCTGACTACAGGAGCTAGCAGAGAGATGGCTTCATCAGACTGCCGCGGCTCCTTCACTAACCAGTCAGAGGCTGGCGGTGGTAAGGTGACCAAGCTACGTTGCTTAAAGGAGAACTAGGGGGTTAGGGCTTTTCCCCATAGTTCTCCTAAGGGTAACGGGAGGACACAAACTAGCGTCCTCCCGTCACCCTAAGCTCAGTATATAGGGAGCTACAGCTCGCGGTATACTGAGACACCGCAGCTGAAGCGGATCCCGACAATTATGCCGGGATCCGCCAAGCTGTGTGAGTGACAGCTGGCTCTGCCTATCAAGGGCAGAGCCAGCTGTACCCGCCCCCTCCCCGTCTGTTCCGCCAGTCAGTGCTGGAGGATCGGAGCGGGGAGGGGGGAATCCAGTCCCTCCCCTGTCACGGCAGAGAGCTGTGACAGGATCAAGAGGTGAGCGAACGCCGGTATGTGTTCCCTCACCTCCCGATCTACTGAGCCGACCTGTGACAGTCTCATTGTCACAGGTCGGCTACAACTATGAGGTGAGTGAAAAGCACTCACCTCATAGTTCTCCTTTAATTGCATCAGAGAAAAGTTGGGTCACCAAGTTGACTATAAGTGTGGCAGAGCTGTGTAAAATCTCAGGACTATATGGACAGAAATCCAAACCCTTTGGCAGGTAAAACAGCTCTCATGTATTTAATCTGTGCATTTAGCGGTTTTTCAGGAGAAATGCCAAGAGCCTTAACTGTCCCGCTAACCCCAACCAGGACTCTAATGGTCTTCTGAAGTCCTTTAGAAACCAACACTTGCAGGAGTGTTGATTTCCTGGTCTCAGTGGTTTGTCCCGCTGACCATGACATCACTACGGGACATGGTGGTGTCACCAGAATTGGTGGATCCAACCATTGAGTGCACTGGGGGACCAGGAAACCAACACTCATGGAAATGTCCATATCTATAGAGGCTTTAGATCCGTGGTTCTCAACTGGTTGGTCGCGGCCCAAAAGTGGGTCGCAACCTCGTATTCAGTGGCTCACCGTGTGCCAGCCACTGCGCTAGGTGAGAGGCTCCTCAGCCTCCCCCTAGCTCAGCACTGGCAGTTCTCCCGCCGAGCAGCCATTGAAAATATGCTGCCCGGTGCCGAGTGTCAGCTTGAGGTGGGGTAGGCTGGGGTTATGGCCACAAGGGAGCTCCATCCATATGTTCAGGGCTTATAACTCCCTCGCGTGCCCTGTAGAGGTGCCTTGACCGGAGTTATGTCGCATTCTGACTCCCGGCACCTCTACAGCATGCAAGGAAGCTGTACAAGCACATATGGATGGAGCTCCGTCAAAGCACAACAGCCCACACTGGACCCCAGGCTGAAGATCCACTCCAGTTCTCGTAAGGTAGGGGAACTGGGTGGATCTTAAAATCTTTTACAAAAAATCTTTGGAGTGTGCGTGTAAGAATGTCTGCGAGTGTGTGAGATTGTGTCTGTGGTTGTGTGTGTCCGTCAGTGTTTTTGAGGGGACCGTTCACACTAGTACAGCGAATTAAACCCGCAGTCCCATGCGAGTAACGCACTATACCATGCAGTCACACCTACCGGCGCGTTCTGGTGCAGGAGGTGCATTGCGTTGCTATTCATTTGAATGGGACCCCAAATGCACCCTCCCACCACAGTTCGACTGCCCGCAATGCCCTGTGTTCCAGTGTGGTGTTACTTGGTACGCAACTTAATGACTAGGGATAATTGTGGGCCCTGAGGTTTACGCAGGTTGAGAACCTTGGCTTTAGATGACAATTTCTCATCATTACAGCAGCATTTCGTGATGTGGGCAGCGGGATAGGTAAGTCTTCACTTATTCTTTGCAGGGAAACTCTTTTATTGGCATTTTTGGTTTTACCAACAGGGTCACTCTATGTCCTATGTCCCCTTGTTGTAATGCACATTCGTAGGGTGAAGGTATCTACAATTGTTGGGTGTTACACAGGTTATCTTTTATCCCTGCATGGGAAACTGCACCAAAATTGCAGCAAGCAGGATCTTTTAAATAATACACCATACATAAGAACTAGGCTGTTGAACATAAAACCACAGAACCCTCCTGTGGCAAGACACTCCTAAGTGCAGAGGTGTGAATAGGTCCGCATTCAATGTCATATCAAGAACATTGTGGAAATGAAAAAAAATAGGAATCCTCACCTGAGCTCTCAAAATCTCTGTATGCTTGTGCCCATGCTTTGCCCTGGTTACTCAACGTGTTCTCGATGATCTGGATGTCAGTGAAGGGACAGTTACATTGGGGGAAGGATTCAGAGCACAAGCAGGAGCATTGACTGTTCCTGCACACATATTCGCCTTCCCCATTACACATGATATAACTCAATGCGGCCTGAACAAACTTCTCCTGCAAGTACTGAGGCATAATGATCTGGAGACCTGAAGACAATGAGATGATAAAGTGAAATTAAAAAATAATAAACATAGAAAGGTGTGAGACTGAACAGGCAGGCATACAGACAAAATCAAATATTATAACATTGTGTACAAAATTCACATACCCATTAGCTACACTTTATGGCCAAGAGTTTGTGGACACCACATCTCTATGAGCTTGTTGGACATCCGGTTCCAAAACCATAGCTGCACTCCATCTTGAGGTCATAACATCCTTCTTGGAAGGCTTTCTACAACATTTTGGAGTGTGTCTCTGGGAATATGTGCCCATTCAACCCAAAGAGCATTTGTGAGGTCAGGTACTGATGTTGTATGAGAAGACCTGGCTCACAGTTGGTGTTCCAATTCATCCTTGAGGTGTTCAGTAGGGTTTGGGGTCAGGGCTGGATTTACTCTCCCTGCTTCCCAAGGCCAGTATCCTCCAATGCGCCCCCCTACCCACCAAACTCCCCATAGAGAATAGCAGACCTGCAGGCTGCATACAAGTGATCATTGCCAAGATCACTTGTACAAAACAAGAGGCGGCTTCCCCGCTGTACATTTAGCTCTGTTACCCCAAAGCGGGGCTAAATGTAGAAAACAACTACCCACTCAGCGCCCGGGAACTGCATGTCCCGGGCATCGGGAGATAGGAATTCCACACCCCTGCTGCCTCTCTGCTGCCCCAAGGCCGGGCCTTGGTTGGCCTTGTGGGAAATCTGGCCCTGGTTGAGGTCAGGACTCTCAAGTTCTTCTACATCAAACTCATCAAACCATATCTTTATGGAGCTGGCTTTGTACACAGAGGTACAGTCATGCCGGAACAGAAACGGACGTTCCTTAACTGTTGCCATAAGTTCTGCCCACAATGTCCTTGTATTGCTTTAATACCAACAATGCAATTGCATGACTACGCTCTTGATTTTTTTTTACACCAGTTGACAATGGTGAGGCTGAAACGCCCAAACACAATAATTTGAAGGAGAGTCCACATACTTTTGGCCATCAAGCGCAACTTAAAGTGGACCTTGCAAAGGCAAGGTTGCGCTTATTTCCTAACCCCTAATGCAAAAACACCAAGTTACATTTTTTTTTTACATGGAGAGAAGAAATACTTATTCTAGACCATAGCTCTCGGACCTCTTGTCTAGGTGCCAATGACATCACTTGAGTGGCCTCATTATGATATCCCTGGAAAAGCTGAGAATCCCAAATCTTGCAAGAATGTGCTCCTTTTATAACAGGATGTTCCAGTAAGGTACAGTGATGTCACCTGCCCCCCATATAAGGGTAAGGTAAGTATTTTTACTTTTTTCTCTCCATTTTTTTAAAATTAGAAATGGTAACTATAGGAAACAACGATTGCACCTAAATAACAAATATCAGCTTTGGATGAAAAAAAAAACTCTCCATATCCTAAATGATCAAATGCTTATTTCTCCTTAGGGGGGTGCAACCGAATTTCGATCTCCATATTAACTCTATACATATCAATTTGTAGCAGAAGTAAAAAAATGTTATTCACCGTTCTCAATAAAATCAATAAAGTGCCTTGCCCAGGAAACAGGGAAGAGAGAAGATCAATCACTGCTCGGATTAATATATCTGTGTACCAGAGTTCGGAAGGTTACATTTTGTGCATATGGTTAACAAGCAGTAAAACAGCTTTAGGCATTCAATCCCTGACCTCCGTAGCTGCATCTGCTGTGAAGTCATTCATTTTCGAAGATCATCTAAGATCACAAAAGACAATCTAAAGTTGATATCAGTTTCTAACAACTGCTGGCAGGCTGCCAAGGTTCTGCTTTCATAGAAAGTAAACAGGAAAAGAGATGTGATTTCAGTGCCATTGTTGTGAACTTTGAACATGAAAGAGGCTATGAGCTCACCAGCACACAGAGGTCCACATTATCAATCCATTCCTTTATTGAGGGTGGGAAGAAGAGCTGGGCTGGGGCAGGTGCTTACAATTAAGAGGGAATGGGGAAGAAGAAAGGGCCGGGGTCAAGGGTAGTAGAGGGGAATTGGGGGAAGGTGATGTAAAGAAAGGCCATGTTCCAAGGGGAGGGAGGCATCCCACTTCCCGTGGTGTCCCAGATGGGCCTGTAGAGGAAATTAGGTCACCAGCACACTGAGGTCCACATTATCAATCTGTCCTTTATTGAGGGTGGGAAGAAGAGCTGGGCTGGGGCAGGTGCTTAAAGTTATTAGGGAATGGGGGAAGAAGAAAGGAATCAGGGTCAAGGGTAGTAGAGGGAAATTAGGGGAAGGTGATGGAAAAAAATGCCATGTTCCAAGGGGAGGGAGATGGGTCCCACTTCCTGTGGTGTCCCAGGTGGGCCTGTAGAGGTAATGAAGTCACCAGCACACAGAGGTCTACATTATCAATCTGCCCTTTATTGAGGGTGGGAAGAAGAGCTGGGCTGGGGCAGGTGCTTAAAGTTATTAGGAAATGGGGGAAGAAGAAAGGAATCAGGGTCAAAGGTAGTGGAGGGGAATTGGGGGGAGGTGATGTAAGGAAAGGCCATGTTCCAAGGGGAGGGAGGGGTCCCACTTTCCGTCGTGTCCCAGGTGGGCCTGTAGAGGTAATGAGGTCACTAGCACACCGAGGTCTACATTATCCATCCATCCTTTATTGAGGGTGGGAAGAAGAGCTGGGCTGGGGCAGGTGCTTACAATTAAGAGGGAATGGGGAAGAAGAAAAGGCCAGGGCCAAGGGTAGTGAAGGGGAATTAGGGGAAGGTGATGAAAAGAAAGGCCATGTTCCAAGGGGAGGGAGGGGTCCCACTTTCCGTAGTGTCCCAGGTGGGCCTGTAGAGGTAATGAGGCCACCAGCCCAAAAAGGTCCAGATTATCAATCCGTCCTTTATTGACGTTAGATAAACATACTATCCTAAAAGATCTCCTTAACCTCTGTTATATTAGGACTGTTACTTTGAGATGTACCTGGCATGATTATATTGTAAAGCATGATGTGTAGTTATACGCACTTTCCTTCAAAAGCGATCCTTTGTGAGAGCATGCTTATCGAATATCAATCAGGGAGGGATTGATAATGTGGACCCAAGTGTGCTGGTGACCTCATTACCTCTATTGTCTTTGCGCCGCCATCTGCTGGTTCACTTCAGCACCCACTGCCCTTGCAAGAAGAGCTAGGCCGGTCTGGAGTGCCATGGGATATCTTTAAACCTTGATGAAATTCTCCACAATGCCTACAGTATAGCTACAGGGGTTATGGAGCTTGTATTAAAGTGTGTTTACTGCTTACGTAGAATATGTAAATACTTTATTGTGCATAGTCTGGCCACAGGTACTCTTTAATCAGTTGTGTATGTAGTGGAACCGGTGCTGGAGTTTTGTAAATGACACAAGCTTTTACATCAAGTAAGCTAAAGAGAGTCTTTAGAACATGTGAAAAGAAACTCAGTGCTACGCCTGCTGGCTTAAAAATAAAATTACCTATATTATTATATATAATAATAATAAAACTGAGCCTAGGGTGACGGGAGGACGCTAGTTTGTGTCCTCCCGTGACCCTTAGGAGAACTATGGGGGAAAAGCACATACCCCATAGTTCTCCTTTAAGGGGACTATAGAGAGCACCGCAACCTCTTCTGAGGGGTGACACCCGTTGTGTGGAGCCCCAGCAAACCCTAGTCCCAATGCACCCCTCTTATATGGAAAGTAAGTACAGTGCTAATCCGGCTCCTGCACGTGAAAGCGTCGCCATTGCAGTCAGCACTGTTCTCCAGCCTCCTGCAGACGAGTTATGTTTACACAGTCACAGGCAATGGTAATCTCCCCACGGCTGTTACACGAGGATAAGAAGACGGCGTAACAATTCCTGCTGGAAACCGCCACCGTGTATTCATCCAGCGACGCAATCGATGTCTACATAACAATTTATTGCATATCCGAAACCTTTATCTGGCTGAGACTGTCCTGTCATAAACCCTTATGTATGAGGATGTAGAGCCTGCCATGTGCGGCTGACGGCATTGGAGCCCATTACCAGCCCGTTAGATTTCCCACTCCAAGACATATTATTGACTATCATTAAACGGGCAAATCAATATCGCAAGTGAATGTTTACTATATAAATGATACCAATAAGCTTAATGGTGAGCTACAGTTCCTCGGCTATAGAACTAGATGATGGCAAGCCCCTATGAATGTGCATCGTATAACTAATACCCGATGTTATAAACCGAGAGAAGCAAGATAATAATTCATCCATGGGGAACATTTTAAAGTGGAACTACGGGCAAAAGCCAAAATGTACACTGAGTGGCCGGATTATTATATACACCGAGTGGCCGGATTATTATATACACCGAGTGGCCAGATTATTATATACACTGAGTGGCCGGATTATTATATACACCGAGTGGCCGGATTATTATATACACTGAGTGGCCAGATTATTATGACCACCTGACGTTTGTAGGCAAATTAGCTATAATTTGGCGCTGAAGTTGCTAGAGGGCCAGACCATTATAAATAGGGAAGCGGGTTGGTTACCACGACAGTAGAAGTGATTGGGAAGATACGGGGAAACAACGCGATGTAACAGCCTTTGAACGCGGGATGAGTGTTGGCGCTCGGAGCCATGGAGCGAGTATCAGCAAAACAGCAGAATTCGTTACATGTTCAAGAGCGGCTCATTGTTAAAGTGTTTAAAGACCGGACTGTCAGCCGAAAATCTGGGTCTGAACGTGCGAATTGTGGCCGTCAGCGACTAGTCAATGTTAGGGCAGAACGGGGGAGGGGCAAGACTGGTACAAGACAACAGAAGGGCAACAGTGCCGTGTCAGATTCCTCGCATCACCTTTCATCATCTCGTGGAGTCACCAGGCGGCCCAACCAAGTACTGATGGGGGGGTCATAATAATCTGCCCACTCAGTGTATGCTGCAGTAATGCAGCTGTTTTTATATTTCTAAATCCACCCTGTAACATACAATATATGACCAAAGGGTCGCAGTCATTATCACTTCTATGGGG